AAAGGAGGACTCCGCCAGACGTGTGCGATACTTTTTACTCACCACATGTCTAGATCTGATAAAAGATTGGTAATAATATTTAGTTGATTTTACTTCTGAGCCTATGATTGGCTCTTTCTCTGAAAAAACTTATTTTTGAGAGAGGGCATGTTTCTGATCACTGTGATCCCTGTTAGGAAATATAAATGATATACTGCAAATCAGTACTATGGTATCTTGATTTAAATTAACTTTTCTCTCTCTATTTTTGAAATTTCAAAGGTAATTTAAACACATACAGTATGTTTAAAGCACTCCTTCTCTTTTTTAAAATTGAATATACATACTGTATGTGTTTAAATTACCTTAAAATAGAGGGAGAAAAGTTAATTTAAATCAAGATACCATAGTACTGATTTGCAGTATATCATTTATATTTGATCACAGTGATCAGAAACNCGTAACCTTTAAGGTATCGGGACATTTCGAAAGCCATTTCGCCGAAAAATAATCTCTGGCCTGAGTTATTTATAATTCTGCATAATGTTGGCCCTATTTTTCGGCGAAACGTCCTTTCGACGAAATGGCTTTCGGCGAAATGTACCGTAACCGTTTAAAGCACCCCTCTCTTTTCTAAAATTGAGTGGTACTGAATATTTCCGACTTTACCGAAAATTTCTGAAATTTTCAATATGTTTAAATGTCATGTTTGTTTTGTTTAAATTATTCACTCCCCTCCCCCTCAAATTTTTGAGCCATAAAGGACGTTATACTAATTATTAGTTTGGAATGGAAGTGGGAATGTGATGTTACTACGTTAAATACGGTATCAATGTTTTTTTTTTTTCTGTTCTGTTTAGATCATCCGAATCATCTGTGAAACTCTAACGGATGACTCGAATGAATTTTGAATTGGATAAATCCAAGAAACAACATGAAAAAGATTATAAATATGGATTTTTGTTATTTTTAATTATAATTCCATTCCAGTAATCCCTTATGGAATAACATATATATGTTATCAAAAAACTTAGAATTAACTGAAATTTATGGATTTGAATAATTCTATAATTTGAATAGACCTTTCCATACATTGGATGTGACAATACATTTCATATTTTAAATAGATTTACTACGACAAACCCGACGCTCACCCGAAACTTCAGAATCCCGTCATTATCTCGACACTTACTATACTGATACGCTATTTTTTTTTTATTACTTTTTTTATAGACGTAATAATATTATTGTAATATTTTGTAATAAATATGTAATAATTTTTAAAATATTACAAAATTATAATTTCTATTATAAAAATTAATTTTTTTTTTTAATATTTAATAATTTTAGCAAAAATAAATGTTTTTATTTTTATTATTATTATTATTTATTAATATTTAATAATATATCGCATAAATTAAGAATCACTTCGCAAATATTAATGATTTATTGTAAAAATGCAAATCATAAATTTTTGTAAATTTTATAAATTTTAAAAAAAGATGTTTCTTTTAAATTCAATAAACATTTAAATTATTACGTCATAAAGATATAATAATTTTTTTATTTTTTACTGTAATATACTGATTAAAGATTTTAATAAATCATTTTTTAGAATTTCTATATTATGTCATTATATTTCAATTGCTAGGAGGATAGTTTCGGGATAATGAATGTCGGGAATAATGGGTTACGTGATTCTGAAGAAGACCCCGCGTAATATATATAGGTCATAGGAACGTTTGCTTAGCCATCCCAGTAAAAAGTCCTGTACTGAATTCATATTAGGTTTGTATTGAATTTATACATGAGCCCGTTTGGTACGAAAAATTGGACCATAAATGGGATAAAATTAAAATAAATATGGCCAAATTTTATACGGAATGGGCTCATTTCATAATTGGCCTATATTTGGTACAATAACTTTTTACTGGGAATGTGTGAATTTAGGTATAGTTAGAAGAAGGAGAAGAAGGATTTGCTTAGAATCAATAAAAATTTTCATTATACTTATATATTTAGGATAATTTTGGCCGATCTCTATGGTAACATCTTAAAGCTATTAGGGGATGAAAAAAGATATTATGATATTTGGTCGGGATGATATTATTGAAAAAATGAGGAGGTTTTAAATATATGCATAATAGTAGTTATAAGAAATTAAAAAAAAAACTTCTTAAATTTAAAATAATACGATAACGATAAATAAATAAATATATTAGAAGTGATCAGCAAATTACAGTATTACTAAAACAAATCTAGATTTTCTGTACACACTATATAGTTAATGATCAACGGATAAAATACTAATATAATAATATCGGTCATATGATTAGTTTGCTTATTTTTTGGCAAAATTTGAGGTCATACAGTATGTTGAGTTTGCTTATTTATCTTAGTAAAAACTCTTGCGTAGCGCTATTATAAAATTTTCAAAATTTCCTATGACCTATATATATTACGCGGGTCCTTTCTGAAGTATTGTTGGGACTCCCATTTAAATAGTGATATCAAAAATAATGAAACGTCATTGAAACCGGTGAAGTCCGTCGCGGTATTTAATTTTATTATGATATTATAACAAAAACAGATTAACTAAGTGACTACAGTTTAAATTTATGGGTTTTGTTTAATAAATTTTATAAATTTTAATAGCGAAAAAAACAAAAATATTATCAGTGATACAAAAAAAATCGAGATTGTCAGTGTTACAAGTAAAAAAGGGGGTCCTATCCTAAATCCCGAAATTCATAATCCCGACACCATATAATCCCAAAAAAGGGATATCGAAAAAGGAAAAGCAGGGGTAATTAGTGAGGTGATGTTAGCAGGGACTCGGTCATATTACGACATGACAAATTACCGACACCAAATTACCGAGGTTATTTAGATAAGTATTGGAGCGTAGCGAAAGACTTTCTTAATGATTAGTGATCCAGAACTGGGTCTGGGTCAAATTATTGACAGTCGAATTACTGATACTGACAGTCAAATAATCGACATTCAAATTACCGACATCAAATAATATTATTACTGTAAAAATTTTTTTCTTTTACAGTAATCCTCCCATACCCTAATCTAACCCTATATAATATCCCTAATTAACCCAAAATCTCTCAAATTATTTAAAATTTTTTCTTTTTCGGAGTATTACCCAACCCTCTTCTACTTTTCCTTGTTAACGCTATTCAGTAGCTAATGTATCTTTATCTTTTAAGTAAGCATACTAGAAAGTTCTTTGCCCTTTAATATTTCGCGTAGAATCACTTATGGTGCATATATTTTTATAAAACCTCCGTTTCTGATAATTTCTTATCTTTGTTGTTGAATATTTTATATGCCGTATCGGAAATGATATGTTATACCATCTATATTCAGACTTTTTAACCAAACCTTATTCAACTGATCGTTACTTAAATATATCACCGCTTTGACTGATTTGCATTTGAATTGTTTTTTCGCCAATATATCTGACTAAACCTAAGCTTTTCAAAACGGTAATAATTTTTTCATCCTTCTGCGGCGCTAACATAGTTGACGTACTAGCTACGTAAGTGCCTTTTTTTTCCGATTTTTATTTATAACCTGATTTTTTTTCATAATTATTTTTTACTAATTTTTTCTTCATTCTTTAACCTTTTAGGTTGGATTAAGGCCAGTACTGTGATATTTAGTGATGGGACTTAAAAATTATTTCGAATCTTTTTTAATTAATAAGTACTTATTAAATTTATAATTGAATTATTAATTCTAAAAATCCTGATTGGTCAATTTTAAGAAGATCGCATGACCTCTTTTTTTTAACGCACAAGCAAATCTCCATGCAAATTGGTAAATAGAGAACCGAAGTTGATCATCATCTTTCTTACATAATATTGACCTTGAACATTGAATAAAGTTTTATCTATTTGAAGTTAGTTACAGTATATTTAGTTTTAGAAATATGAATTTTTTCAAAGCTGTCTAATATAATTTACTAAAACTTTACAATTTCAAAAAGAACAATAACTTAAATATTTATGAATACTTTACTATTTATTTATTTACAAATTATAAAGTACAATTTTACGATTTGTTTATAAATTTGATACGATTTCGATAGTACATTTTTACGATTTTGTTGAAATTTTGGTAACTAATTTTGCACGATTCACCTTAATATTCAGTAACTTCTTACAGGTGACTTTTGAAACTAAATTGTGACCAAATCTTTATTAAAAGTTTTACGATAAATTTTTGACATGGTCACTATATGGTTTCGATTTTAAAAGTTTCTGCAAAGTAAATCACCCAAATTAATACTAGCATAGACTTAATCATCGTATAGATTATTTCTTTTTTTTGAATCACGTGGGCAGTTTAGATATCATGATCATGCGCAGTAAGACGTCATCAGTATATTTCTCCGCAGTAATTATGTTTAATGTTATTTTTTCTGAATTCACTCTTCCAAAGTCAAGAGTATCATAGCGATGGCTTAATGCGCAGTAACTGCGTTACAAATACATAGTGACCACATTATATAATCGTAAAGAAATTACATATATGCAGTTACTGTGCATTAAGCCATCGCTACAATCTTGATAATCAATGCTTTATGTATTAGGGAGTTTCAACTAACATTTTTGATTGTAGGCTTGAGCAAAAGATTCGCAAATATCATTTCTGTAATCCAAGAATAGTTTTTGGATATCTTTGATAGGATTAAGGGTGCAAATGATTATTCTTTAAATCAGATAGAGTAATTGGAAAAAATACAATAAAGGTTTTTACCATGGGGAAAATATAAAAAGCGAAAACTTAGAAAAAATAGGTACTTAGATAGATAACTCTAGCAGTCACTGGAAATGTCACAAAAAAAGAAGGCAAATTTTTTTTATTAAGGTTGGTAAAAAAAATTTTGTGATACAATATATACAATATTATATAACTTAATTGTCGATCTGACGAATATAAATATAACTAGATATGAGTAATCATTTAACACAATTAGATATTTTGTATATATGTGAAATTCATTTATGACTATTTGTATGTTAAACGAAGTTGCCGTTCCGAAATCATATAATAACACATTTGATGTAACTTCTATGGCATGCTCAAAGATATTTTTAGGAAATTTACCAGAGTTAATAAATGGAATTATTCAATATTTCCATCATGATTATAAAACACTACATTCGTGTATATTAATTAATAGATTATGGTGTCATTTAGCAATTCCATTATTATGGGAAAATCCATTTTCAATTGAATGTCCTAAAAATTATCACTTTATTGAAATTTATTTACATAATTTGAATGATGGTGATAAAACAAAATTAAATAAATATGGAATTAATAATGATTTAATTCCTTCAAATACATTATTCAATTATTCTAGTTTTATTCAACATTTGAATACACGTAAAATTATTAATTCTATTAAAAATTGGGAAAATGCTGTTAGTAGAACTTCAACAACTAAAGTACAAAACCTTAAATTTATTAATAGGTCACTGTATCAAATATTCATTGAAAATGTAGTAAATTTGCATAGTTTGGAAGTTGTATGATTATCTACAAATCAAGAACGTGAATATTTCTATGATACTTTTAATTTAATTTTACAAAATCCAAATTTCTTTCGCAATATCAAAAATTTGAAACTAGAGGATTCTTTTATAACAGCTGAAACTTTAACAAAATTTTCAACATTACTCAACTCTCATTGCAATTCAATTTCATCACTTTATTTTAAATTCCTATTATGTTACAATAATAGCAATGACCATCAAACGATCGAGAAAGTTTATCACAAATTATTAATTATCAAGAAAACCTTAGAAAGATTTTATTTGGCTTTAGTAGTATTCCTTTATATCGCACATTATTATTATTAAAAAATTCCAATTGTTCAAATACATTAAACACAATTATATTTTATTACACTGATTTTAAAAATATCATAATTGGTTTAAATGAAGTATTCAATCAATTGAATGTTTTAGAATCAATTCATATTGTTTTTTGCCAATCTCTAGATACTAAATTTATTCCACAAATTATTAATATTATTAAACCATTTAAATTAAAATCTTTAATTTTGAATGAAATATTACAAATTGAATCATTATTACTACTAATACAAAAATTTGGTAATAATATGGAAAATTTTGGATTTGAAGAAATAAATGAATCACCACAATTACTTCAATTACTTGAATCAGTTATAATATATTGTTGTAAAATTAAAATTTTATATTTACTTGATGGGCTAAATAATCAGAATATTAATTTAGTATTCAATTTAATTGAAAATGTTAAACAGAATCTTAATTACCTTTTCATTGATACTTATCATGATAATCATTTGAGTTTAATTATATTACAAAATTTAGGACAAATTCTTCGAACATTTGAAATTGATTCTTGTAATTAACAGAAGTGATTTAGAAGCATTTTTAAGATTCACAAAATACTTTTATTAAAAAATTGATATTTAAAAATAGAAATGGAGGTGAATATATTTTAAAAAAGAAAATAATTAAATATTTGGCTATTATAGAAACTTGTCCTAATTACAGTGATGTAACTTGCAATGATTTATTTTTTCTAGAAGATAAAGTACATCAAGTTAAATTATATGATATTCAAGTTTTAAATTATTATAGTTTATATATTGATATGGGGGATATTATTTATGATAACAAATATTTTTAAAACATCATCCGGAAATTATCTTAGTTGTAAGAATTCGTAGTCCTGCGATGGGGTGCAATCCTATGTGAATAAAGTATTAATGCTTTTAATTGTAGTACTTATATTTGAGATGAACTAAAGATTAAAACTTTTAAGGATTTAAAAATTATAAGTTCACTTCTTTCATGATATTTTAATTCATTCAGTAGTAAAGATGTAATTTTACTTATGCTTTTACTAGTATATACCAAAGCATTAGATACTGACTTTTTATCATTTATTGAAATTCTGGTTTAATGCAAGAAAATTTAGTGCGCACAGTATTTGTGACCTAAATTTTGCAGATACATATATAATAATTATTGAAGAGAACTTTTTGAAATTAGCTGATAGTATAAAAAAACAATATTATTTTGTTTATTTTGGACGAAAAAATTTTAATGAAAAAATGATATAATAAATCATAATTATTATTTTGAAAATTAAATTTTTTTGTTGATAATTATATTATGATAATATTATTTTAATCTAAATATTAACACAAAAATCATCTGAAAAAGTTAAGGTTAAAAAGGTATATGGGTCAGTGGCCCTTGAACTTTTTTATTACTTTTTCTATTTAATAGCCGTGTACGCATGACTTTCCAAAAGAGTGGCATTAAAAATCATAAAAATGTATGTGACCAATCAAAGACAGGTAAAATATTTTGTTAACTTTTAACAGGGATAGCCGAGAAATGCACAACCACTAATTTGGCGTATCATGCAAAAATAATTGCATTGTACAATTGCATTAAAAAAAAATTCTGAGTCCTACACATAAGAAAAATTTCTGGTCCCTATGCCTCAATATTCAATTATTTTTATATTTTCAAGTATTTATTTTCTTATTAATCAATAAAATTAAAGTTCGTACGAGTTCAATACTTTGGTACGGTGATGATCACTAGCGGTGATATTTAGCAATTTTCTTAAACATGGCCACAATTGCTCTGTAACCTGACTATAATTATGAAAAGGCCATAGGCAACTTCTAAAATGAGCTTATAAAAAAAAATTGGCTAACTTTAAATTAATTTTAAGTATCAAGCTGTTGATAATGACTTTTGATTATTGATTGTCCTCCCATAATCCATAACAAACAAAAGTCAAAACACATAAAATATAGTATTTCAAGAAACTATTGACAACGTAACTCTATCGTCATTGTCAAGATGTATGAACTATAAAATGCTTTTAATTGTAAGTAGTACTTTGTTTACATGTACTATTATCTTACTGCATTTGTAATAAATGCCGTATATAATATAGGTTTAATAATTGAATTAAAAAATTAGTATTTCATGATAAATTTAAGAACCTAAATTGAAGAATTCAAGTTGTAAAAAATATTCCGGAATGAAATATTAAAAGTTTGAATAAATAACAATTTTGATTTAATTTAATCACAGGTTTATTCTTTTTTTGAGTTCTGTTTTTTTTTTAAAAGAAAAAAATCTCTTGCTATTATAATTCATGTTTATCTTTTCACATTATATTTAATTCTCTATTTTGAATAAATAATTACTATATACATCAATTTTATAATTTTAAGCTTTTAAAATTTTTCAGAATTTTTTTACCACATAATTTCACCCATTTTACACGATGATTTCGTATATAATTTAATCATTGATTTATTGATCATATAATAGTAAATGTCATACATAAACTCGAATCACCCAAAAAAAAATTTTTTTCTTTAAAAGAAATATCTATCTCATTATGTATTCAAAATGTTTTTACAAGATATATATACACTTAATTTTCTCATATAAAAAATTTCAAGCATAATTTCCTTATTCTTATTCTTAACAATATCATATCTTATAATATTAACAGGAATTTGTATCATTCTATTAATATTTGAATTGCAATGAAGACTTTTTTACGATTTAGTTCATGAGTCTGCTCATGTATATATATATGTCTAAGGTTTTCCAAATATACTTATTCGTCGATATTCTTCGTGAGTCTAGACGAAATCTGGTATATATGCCTGAGTAAGTGTGGGATGAGCGTTCTTTGATATCAGTCTAGTAATTTAATAACTTATTTTATCTGAGCGATCATAGGATAACCTCTTCTTTTTTATATTATTAGGTTATTATTGATTAAATTTCAAGACCCGGTTCAATCTATAAATTCAGCAAAATTCTAAATAATTAAAAAAAATATTTTAAATTTTGTATTTATTTTTATATATATTATATGAAAAATTTTAAAATTTTACTAAATTAATAAATTATTTATTTGTTATTTTTTTTTTTTAACTTAAAAATAATAATTTAATTTAAAGTACTATTATAATTTGTAATTAAATGATTAAAAATTTTTTGATCTCAAAAATAAATGAATAATCTGCTGCTGAAACAATTCATATATCCAAAATAAAAATTATTAATTTTTAGTTTAATGTTCTCCTTCTCTCTATTTTTGAAAATTTCAAAGGTAAATTATAACAAATTATTCAGTATAGTGGAAAATTTGGTATATAGTGGTAAATATAAGAAAATCAATATATTTGTAAAACGTCATGATCACATCAGAATGCCTTTACTATATTAAATTTTTCCTTTCAAAAATCATCGTAATCTAATAAAAGTTTTGGTTTAAAAAAAATTTCGGTATAAAAAGGGTTATTTTGTATACGAGGGATACAAAAATTACTTCGTCAAATGGCATATTGGTGATATTCGGTATAGCGAGGATTTTTTCATATTAAAATTGGTACCACACTGAAAATTTGTTGTATTATGAAATTCATTATATCAAAATTTGATATAAAAAGGACCAACTGTATACTAAAATTTGAGTGGTACTGAAAATTTCCGATTTTACCATAATTATTAATTTGGAGAAACCTTATTTATTTAATATACTGTACGTTTCATAAATAGGACATAATTACGTATGTAAAATGTCAAATTCATTTCTGACCGCAGCTGAATTTTTGATTCCCTAGGTTGGATAGCTGATAAAAAAGTAACAAGTGTACGTAATTAGTTCTAAATCTTAAATAAAATGAATTAAGAAATACCATTAATTCCTATAACCTATATTGATAGTAACGATGTACAACATCAACTTCAATCATGAAAAATTGGATATGTCTTCTTTCTCTTGAGTAAAACAATCAGACCTATTATACATGAGTTTATAACGATCATTGGTGATTATGGGTTTTTACAACTTAGTAATTAACCCAAATGAATTTACGTAATTAACGTAAATATTGTTTTATTAATCGCTTAATTTTTATTCGCGCGTTCATTATCCATTAGCTAGTATTTGCAGACTATGTGATACCACTATAATATTTTGCAGCATATTATACGAGAGAGGACGAATATTTTTTATACATATCTACAATATAAAATTAAGAACCATTAGCTATTAGGTACTTTCTAATATGCCTTTTTAAAATAATATTTGACATATTTATTAATTTAACAAAGCATTGTACTTTGGTATGACATTTATTTGTAATTTGTAACAACTTTCTTTTTGTTTCAAAGATCACGTAACCACTTTTTATAGTGGGGTCTGGGGGACGAAGTCCCCTGCAAAATGCATATTCTAGTTAAAATATAAATTATTTGATTATTTGATTAGCGTTAGAATGTTGTTTTTTTGATATATAAGTTCTAAACCCTTAATACTACTAGAGTTGTCTCATTTATACAATTTATTATATTTATATACTGTATAGTTTTATTGATAAATATTAAGTTTATAAATTATTTTGTTGAAAGGTCTTGCAATTTAAACATTACTCAAACTCTTATTTTACTATATCATAATCTAAAAATTATCAAGAAAAGTTAATTTATTATCCCAAACAATATACTATTATATTTCGCTTAGTTCACATGACAGATAACGTGACAAATATTGCGCTGATAATTACAAACCGCAGGGAAGTAACAATCCTATATACAAAAAAAAAAAAACTCTTTCCCACAAATTTCGGAAAAAATTTTTTGACAACGTCGTGCGTTAATTTTTTTTAAATTTTACAAAAACGTTTGTCTCCGTCTAGTCTCGTTAGAGTTTTCCCACCTTACAACACTTTCACACACACTTTATTATTACCTTATTATTTACTTTTCTCGAGTCACTTGTCCATTTTCCTTGCCCTGTTGTCCTGCGTGTTAAAAGTTGGAACAAATTTTTTTTTTTACCGGTCTTTTTATGAAGTACCACTCTTCCTCTGACATAAACTCACAAAGCCTTCTCAAGCTCGGCCTATGGACTCTTCACCCGACTCTACTACCCCTCCGCCTGTTTCACAGGCTATTTTACGTCTTTACAAACCTATTACAAAATTTTTTAACATTTCCATGAGAATTTCCAAGCTCTCGCCCTACCTGTCATGTGACACTCGTGGCAGTGGAACTTTGTACAATACTAGAAAAGGACGATATTACCTTCTTCGGCTGTCTGAAAAAGCCGATCTTCCTCTTACGGAAATTGACAAATACCTGATTTACACCAATGATATTGAATTATCAAAAAATCATCGTCATACATTTCGATCTACATCTAACAAACCAAATTTAAATTACATTTTAGGAATCTATCTCACATTTGTCTTTTCTTTAAATAGACAATTTCACAAGGATGCTGTGAACAAATACTTTAACCGTTTACGCCATTTATTAAAAGAAAAACTTCTAGCACTACGATATCGATTAGAATCGACTGATAATAGCGATAGAAAAACTAAAACATTTATCCGGTTCAGCTGCGGCCCCCACGTGATCTACCTGGGTTTTTATTTCCCTTGCGGCACGCTACATTTTGCACCTGGTAAGAATGTGGGCTCACTATGTATCCACCCCCCTGCCTTCGTACAATCAAATAATCGTTGGCGTTGCGGAGCTCATCTCAAACTGATCCGACAGGTCTCGCATACTACTACTCGTCATCCAGTAGAGCCTAGGTTCTACGCTGAACAGTTTAACCGTACGGTAAACCGACATCACAAGAATAAAAAGAACCACAAAGAAATTCATTCTAATCGCCTCGGCATTAGCTATGTCGTTCAATTTAAACGATTTCGCTCGGCTGATTTAAATTTACCTAGCATTGACAATAAAACGGTTCAACCATATTACAAACAATACCGCACGTTACGTTTCGATGCGGTTCGTTCACCTCAACAGCAGGCACGATGGAATAGATTTATTACGTCTACACTCAGACGTAACCACTCCAACCAGACTATCCTACCTCACTTACTTCCTAACTCCCCTGGACAAATGGTTTTTAAAACCATCCATCATCTCCCGGACCGTTACATAGGACGTACACCTACACAACTTTCTGACGCTTTCAAAAATTCGCCTAATGGTCTTAGGCACTATAATCAAATACGCGCATGTCAAAGGATCAAGAATTGGATCCGTCGCACTAAAAAACGCAACCGTCTCAAGAAACAATTACCTCCCCTACCTGCTGGTTTTGTTGGAGACCAGCGTACATATTATTACGTTACGTATAATATTAACCTGTTTGATTATAATATTAGACGACTCTATAATGTCAGTTCGATCCCCCAATACAATTACGGTTATTCCAAAGCGGTTGAGCTATACCGCCAACATCATGCCAAATTCGTCATGATGAATTTTATACAATCACCTCCTAACGTTTCTTACCACATCAAAAAGAAGGATCAACAAATCTTTAATGATTCGAACCTCTATTTCCGGCGTACACCTCCCCCGGACAATGATTCGCACACTACCATGAGCGACATTACTTACTTCTCGGCTAGTGAAGGACCTTCCGTTGTGGAATTCCCGCCTACGCCGTCACATGATTAACTCACTTGATTGAGTACAACAACACCGGACCTTTAAATAATGCACCATTCCACACCTGACAGTATTTACGTGTGGTGTCTTTATGACAAAAGAAAAATACGGATTCCAGTGATATACTTGAACTCACCTTTTGTTACGTTTTGTTCCTTTCCCTTGTATTTTTAGTTTTTCCTTTTTTTATTTTCTCGTTCTTTTTTTACTGGTTTTGTTTAGACTCCAGGTTATGCTTGATTGTTCTATAGAATAATGGGCAAGACGACCCCTTCAGGCTCCTCCTGAGAGGTTGGGTAGAACACTAGCTTAGAATTTATTGATCTTTTAGACCATGTTTATTCCTATTTAGCGTTCGACCCCAGTCGAGTCTATATTTTAAAAATAAAAATAAAAAAAAAACAATCCTATATATTATATACTGTATATTCATTGGTTTTTAAAATTTTCTATATACACTGTTGTTAACCCGTCAGGAAACCACATCAATGGCTTAGTTGTTACTATTTTTATGGGTAAATAAGCCCATCAGGAAGCCACATCAATTAGGCTTAGTTGTTACTATTTTTATAATTGTATAAATAAATCTCATTCTCTCATACGCTTTATTATTATATTTTTACTTCCATTAATTACTGTATATAGTTAATGTTGTAACAAAAGCATATTAATACTTGGGGCAATCAAGGGGTAGTATATATTTATAAAAATCAATATAAGATAAACAATAACGTTATGAAAAATTAACTGACAATTATAAATAATCATATGAAAATTAAATAATCATATGAAAATCATAAACTAAAAAAAGCAAGAATAAAACTTTAACTGATGCAAGTATAGTATATATAGAAATGAGATAAAAAAAGAAAATTAACCAATTTGGAATACAATTATAATTATTTAATGTGAAAAATCATTAATTATGAACTAGAAAAAATCAAAAAAAAATTGTAAAATATTTAGCTTGTTTGAAACCTCATTAATTTATTTGAATTTACTATTAATTTTGCAAACAAAATTTTATAAAAGTCTAAAAATAATTGATTACAAAAAGAATTTTTTTTTCCTGTTCCCTTCTCATCCTAGCCCTACTCTCTTTGCTCACTCTTTTTCACATCCTCACTTTCATTCTTAATATCACTTTTAATATCAGTATCTCCCTTTCATCTTCATTACTCTCAACATTTTCATTGATCTTCCTCCTCCTCATTGGTATCTTCCTCATTTTGACCTAAACAACCTCTTCCATTCTCTTGTTAAATATAGATTTGTACCAGTAAATTCCAAAATTTCAAATCGGCAAAATGCAAGAGAGTATTTAGTAGCTGTCAACCCAGTTAGTAGAAAATATCAATTATGAACTTATAAATTGTATGAGTTTCAAACAAATTGGAAGTTTTAAGCTTCCTTATATTCATGCTTATTCATATCTTTATCTGGTGTTCAATTTCTGCAAGAATATTATGAAGAAGTATATTGAATTACAAATGAATCAAAGGATATTTTGTGATAATGAAATTCTAGTCCCAAAAAGTGATACAAGACTTCAAGAAGATTCAATTTCCTAACGATTTATTGGAATATCAACCACCCTTAAACAAAATGTTTGAGGCTTTAGAAATATTAGAAGGCTCGGGTGGGTAAATTTTTTCAAATTTTATCATTTTTTTCCCCACATCTCATATAATTGTCCGGGATCCTATTAAAATAGTAAACTATTCTTCAATAACTCTACTATTTGATTAAGCGTCATGTTGCAAAAACCTCACAATTAAAATTACCAATCTTTTTAAGAACTGTCTCATTTATCTATTAATAAAAGCTTTATCAGATTCTGACAACTGGGTTGGTTTAGAAGTCACGTGGAAAACTAGATTCCTAAATACTATAAAAGAAACCATCCCAGAAGATTACAAAGAAATATATGAAAAGGTTTTGTATTAATAATAAAAAAAAAAGTGATTGGTTAATTGTATCAGATGAGCTATTGTAGTTACTCAAAAATATTAGATGTACACTAAAAACAAAATGCAACAAACTTGGTTTAATTGCTTAAAGTAAACATGATCTTTCACAATTAAATTGCCATTTGGATCATTCTCCTAATTTTTATCATCAACTATCACAAATATATTGCAATATACAATTTTTAGATATGACATATAAACACTACTATATATTTGCAGAATTTTATTTCTGTTCAGAGTTATATTTATTAAACAAATTGAGTTCATCAACAAAAGAAGAATTTGTAACCGAGATTGAAGACCCTTTGAATAATTTTAACAAATTGCAAGTACTATCACTTAATAACAAAAGTAATTATAATAGTTTTGAAGAACTGTATTTTTCAAAATTAAATTTAAATCTGGTAATTTCCAACCAACAAATGAATCATTATTCAAAATTTAGATATTTACAAAAAAATTTTATATTAATAATAGTGATGATTCATTAAATAATTATATTATTTATTCATGTCCAAATATCAAGAAACACAAATATTTATGGATGATGACAACTTGGCTCTAAAAGTTTGGATCAACATACACTAAAAGTCATCCAAAATTTTATTCCAATAGTTTTAATAGCCACTACTTAGAAATGTTCAAAGTATTTATTGAACATCATCTATAAATGCATTAGCTGCATTTCAAATCTTCTATAGTTATCATTCTAATCAGAAGAGTATATGACTAGAACATTATATGCTAATCAGATTAGTTGGGCTAAAGCATATATGCCATTTCAGTTTTATGCTGGAATACAGAGTTCACAAAGTGTAGAAAGTCAAAAAAAAAGTCAAAAAAAAAGCAAAAAGCTGGTACACCAAGCCAAAGATCAATCATGAGAAGGTTCAAATAACAACAAGTTAAGCAAGTTGAATTTTGTGAAAAACTATAAAAATGCTTAGATATATATTAACTTATTAGTCTTATATGTATTATCATTAAGTACAATATCAGAAAATTTTTGTTATAATCCTTATTGGAAGGGTGACATCTGAATCTACCTGATAAATAATGCCATTGCCAAGACTGTTAATACTAGAAAGTATTAGATTATTTTTCTGGACATTAAACCCCTTTAAAGGAAGAAGAACTTGTTATTGAAAGATCAAGACCATCTGGAAAACATGTGGATCAAGAAAGCATGAAACAATATTATATTTCTTTAACTATGTTAAAAAAAATAAAGTGAAAGGGAATTATTTTAAATTATTTTAAATTATTTTTATAAAGCTTTTATGAAATAGAATTTCATTATTTAAATAATGAATTACCAACATTACTTCAAGTAGATTTAAAATCCTTTCATTTTAAATTGGAAAATCAGCATAAAACTCTGTTAAATTGTTCAATAAGTCACATAAGCTCTCCATTATCTTTTAGTAATATAGCTTTAAGTATTGAAAGTGAGGAGGTACTGAATAATTATACCAATTTATTATTAAAAAATAGAGAAGACCCACTATTTTCATTATTATTAAAGTCATATACTTGCTTTAAGATGAATTAAACTAAGCATGTACTTGTATAATAATTAAGAAGCGCAAGCTTATTTATTCATCAACACCATGAAGAAGAAATTAAGATTGAGATTTGATTTAATCATATTCTTTAAATAATTGATTCCAAAATATATATAGAGCTATACAAATTTAGATGATTTGGGAAACAGCTGCAAGGGCGAATAACAGTTTCAAATCATTTGGACAGCCATAGCAGAAAGATTAAACCAGGGAATTTTACATGGATTAGTCACAGAGGAGACTGGATCCTAAGGTTCATTAGTAACGGTAATAAAAATGAGTTTGGAAAGCTAGGAAAAGTTGGTAGTCAAAATGGAATGAATTTTTCTAGAAAGTCACCAAAAGCTCTTAAGGATATTATTTTTGAATTGATTTTCGAGATGAGCCTATTAACATACCCTATAAAAAAAATTCTGGATAAAATTCTGATAAATGATCATTTTTCTAGTTTTTATTATTATTAAAGACCCACCATAGTAGAAGGTGGCGTCATAATAGAAGATATTTAGGTGCACGGAGATAATTTTTTATATTTTTATATTTTTAATTTTATATTTTTATATCTTTTTATATTTTAAATTATTTTATATTATTATATTATTATTTTTATATTTTTATATTTTATATTTCCAAAGAAACTCAGACATGTGATTATTTTTTTGTAAAATTTTTTATAGGGAAATTACAAAAGTAATAACAAAAATGAATTGACTGTATCTTATATGAAATTGTCAATAATTTTTAAAAAAATAAAAAAATCATTTGCATTATCATTATTATATTAAAGAAATTGATGGAACTAATATGTTGATAAATAACAATGAAATTATATTATCATTAAGCGCTCACTTATCGTTAAATTGTCTCTGCAGTAAATCTCAATTCTCGCAATAAGTAACGTGGCTTAGACCAAATTTTTTAATAATATAATAGACAAGATGGATAGTCGATCTACTATCTCTTTTTTTTTAAAAAAATAAACATTTTTATTATTTTATTTTAAAAATAGACCGAATTTTAATTAAATTTTTATTCCTTATTCAACTTTAAAAATATTTCATTAAAACAATCATATAATATTATCAACATCTGAATTCAAAAAATTGATTTAGGCCTTTCTGAAACAAAATAAAAACAATTATGATTTATTTATCACAAACTTGATTCAGGCAAACATGTTTTAATAATATATTCCATTTTTATATAAATATATTCTATAAATACAGTATTTTACATATTAACATTACGTATTTAACACTTACATCATACATTAATTCCTTTATCATATAGCATAGAAACTTTTTAAAATTTTACCCTTATTATTCCAATTAATTTATTTATTAATAGTACTATATTTACAAAAAATGATATAAAATGAGTAAACAATTTACAAAATGGAATCTATTTAAATAAAAACTAAATTGATCTCACATTACCATCATCATCTTGCAGACAAATGATCCTAATAATAACAGCATTGAGATGGCATTGATCAAGGCAAATCCATCTCACCATTTATTACTTACGGCATGTATTTTATGACCTATATTATCGTAGCATGGCTATGAAAAATGTGATGCCTATGAAGAAATCAATAAAAAGCTTATAAAATATCTATTAGTTCTTCAATTCTAATGAATTCTGAAAAAGCAATATTGTTAACATTACGAAAGTTTCTGACAACATAATTCGATCACATAGAAATTACATTTCATTTCACGTTACTTTTGGCTCGAGTATGCAAATAGAAATTTTTGAAAAGAAAATCCTAGCCCTAGAATGCTTAATAAAAGTTATAAAGAATAAAGATAGGAAGAAATAGTACAGATATAACAAAATTTTCTACAGTATATAATCACGTTAAAATGAATTTATTTTATTTTTTTCCTCTTTAATTCAATTTTATTTAAATTACTAATGTATGGACTATTGAACTCAGTATGCATCTTGTTATTATTATAAGATATAAATAAACAGCTAGTAATTATAATTGATTATAAACTGATCTACTTAATACATTATAAAACTAATGTAATATTAAATTCTTTGCAGAATTTTTTTAAATCAAACCCAGATCGTAACCGAAACTTCACTTTAAAGATAAAACAAATGCACGATTCGGTCACAACTTAGTTTCGAATTAATTGGAATTTGTCTATATGCAGTTACGGCATATTAAGATGATCGATAGATAATTTAAATCGATTTCGTTTTGAAGAAATAAATAAATTAATAAATGAATATTATCGAAACCGTAAATAAATAAATAATGAATATTATATGAATTATAAAAAATTAGTTTAGTTGTATTTAACAAATTGTAAAAATTTAGAATAGTTTTATAAATGTATTATTTTTGAAGTGTTTAAGAACTAATAAAGTAATATTAAATCATTATTATCAATTTCTAATCATTTCATTTTCGAATTTTAAACTGATATTATACCGTATTGAAATAATACATATTTCGAATGTATGTTTTGTTTCTAAAATCATGATTGCCTCCAATACATTCGCCATCATTACAATTGTGAATAAAATGTACTCTATTAACTGCATTGACTACGCTAATGGGAAAAATCTTTCTCCGGCTTCTTCCCGTTTGTAACTTGTATATTGGGCAATCTAACTTCACCAGACTTGTGCTTTCAAACCAGTCGATGATAATAAAAGTGAAAATTTGGTCACTCCGATGGCAAAATATCCCTTGCACAGTCGCAAGACCTTCTCCGAACTCATCAGTATCGATTGAAACAACATCTCCGATATGCAAAGCATATCGAATGGCTTCACTACTTTCTTTAATATAGACGAAACTTGCATATTCAAAAAAAGACGGCTGGTTGTTTGAAATTATGTATTTTTCAAGATCTTCATAAGCTAATGCCAATTCAGCTCGGAAATTTGTCAATAGTGATAAGTTGACGTCTTTTCATTTAATATGCTTCTTTAACAATATATTTGAAATATAACTGACTGGAGAGTAAACTATAAAGAATGAGTTAGTAGAATCCTTCTTTTCATTAATAATAAGAGTATTTTAGTTATTGATACCTTCGTTTACATCTTCGTTTCCATCATTCATTACATTAACCTTCTTGTCTTTTGCGATGAACCAATCACTCATTAGGCGTTTCAAGTGTTGCGAAATGCTCATAAATCCACTGCTAGACTTAGAAGATTGAAAGTCTGTTCCACCATCCATTAGATAACGCAATGCAAATAACGTATTGTAGCGTCTTAACAGGTCCAAGCTTACATCCTTTAAGTTCGTTCGTGGCACAATGTTTTTAAATATTCGGTGAATCATTTCTTTCATTCCGACGCTTGTATTCAACAACGTGGCATAATTTTTGGCATGTAATATTAGATGGAAATTGATATGTAAATTCAGCAGACATTCAAACTCTTCAAACATCTATTTGTAAATAATTAAAATTTTTATGTTAATAATATTAAATTGATGAATTAATATTAAATTAGTATGCACAAATATGTAATAATGAATTATTAGTAAATGATTAAGTGTGAATGAGATATAAATAATTAATAATCAAAACCTGGGACAATAGTTTCCTTTCGTTATCCAAGCATTCACGCAATTCGACATAATCGTCTTCTGTGAAAGACCCTTTGAATACTGTTACCATTGTTCTTGCAACTACCGACCAGCATCTTATCCATAAATTTGTCGCCGAGTCATTGCGAGAAATACCCATTCGATGCTGAAGTTTTGTGAGTTCAGATTGTTTGAAATGATGATGTTTTAAGAACCTATTTAGTATAAAAGGAAAAATCATCGCTAATTGCAAACAGTCCGACATCATAAAGCTGTCGATGTGAGAGATAGGATTTGGCAGTTTATGCCAAGTTCTTGGGTATTCAAATGTCTTCCAGTTTGCGAGAAATGCTGATTTTCCTTCTAGAGTAAATGATTCGATCGTCATTTTAAGGAGTCTCAACACTTTTCCTGCGGTAGCATGGTATACGTCTTGAGGTGATTGCAAATGTCTTTCCCATCGCAAATAATCAAGTATCGGAGGTTGCAATTGTAATCCGTGTTCTGTGGCGATTTCTTTACATCTTGTTATCATTGGTGCCGCAGAAATCTCTTCGAATTGTTTATCCGCAAGATGTTTATAACGAGAAATTAATAGTAAGTCGAGATTATTGGCCGTCCAGGAATCTTTAGTTGCATTACAGGTGCGACATCCTCTTGTAGCACCGTGTCTTTTCACACCTGCCATATCGTTTCCCTGGGGTAAGTCCGCAGTTATATCTCCGATGCTTGCGATCACAAGACTTTTATTTCCTTGTATATCCATGATTTTCCCTTCTTCAAGTTGTTTCATTTCCTCAATAAATGGTTTGATAAAGTCGTCGAAACAGCCGCCGAAGGGAACAAACCCAAGCACGAAGTGATTCCTAAGCTGATTTCTTTCGCTAAATGGCATATTTCCAATTTGAATATATATACCGCCTAGCGAATGGTAAACGTTTCGAAAAGTTCCAAAATCATCGTAATAAAGATTGATATATAATTTGTATACTGGAAGTTCTGTTGTTGGTTCTTCGAACGCAGCGAATTCAGAAGGATGTCAGTAAGAATATTTGACATCTCTTAATCTCCAGTGCCCATTATACTTGTAAAGTATCTCTCGAATTTTAAGTGAATCGCGATCGATAACATCATCATCGTAAAGAATAGTTATGGGAACGCGTCTAGAAATCACTTGTGGTTTGATGTTGATGGTTGCGTCATCCATTTCTCGATCCAGAAACCAGAGTTCGCCTTCTTCAGATCGTTCCATTCGATCGTTACTCTGTAAATTTACCGGTAAGTCTTCATACAACAAAACACGTTGGATCTTGATCTTTAGTCCATTGTCTTGCTGAACAATCGCTAATATATGACCAATTTCTTTTGGAGATCCACTTGATTTTCTATAAGTTACGAAGTCCCCAGAATAGTAATTATCTAAAAAGATTTAGCAGAATTGTTAAAGGAAATTTAGCAAAGAACACAATTCAGTTCTTAAACTTACTTCCAGCAATCGTGATAGATGCCTGTCCAAATCTTAATGATTCCTTCCAAATGTTCCCATGCCAGAGCTCTTTATTTTCTACGACCTATTGCCCTGGTCCGAAATACATGCGATTGAATGATAAAGGATTATTTAGAACGTGGCAAATAATATCGGTAATAGAAAAATAATATGCATTTCCGATATTTTTTGATGTTGAAGGCGTTTTCTTGCTGGAGATGTGTATTTGACGAGATCTGATTGGAAGTAAAGGCAACCTTTGCCTATACTTCCTAAATCGTCGACTATTCTTCACGACGTCTTCACTTTCGAACTGTTGATGATGAATTATATCCGCTAATTCATCATATGCATGGGTAGCTAGAAATATGAGTTAGCACTAATATCATCAATCATGTTTCGATTAAAAATACGTAACTTACATATGTTATGTTTTTGGACCCAACAAAACATTAAGGCTTCCGTAATGTTACTAAAATATGGCGCAAACACTCCGCTAGTGTGTGGTAATTGTTCACTTTTTAAGGACTCATCAACAACTTCTTCATTTATGTCCAGGTCATCAAGTTCTTCCGATTCTTCATAGTCACTTTCATTTTCGTTCGGTTCATCGGATACATATTCATCAGGTTCATATTCAATTTCGTCTTCATCATCAGGTTCATCTTCATCATCAGGTTCATCTTCATCATCAAGTTCATCTTCCTCGTCAAGTTCATATTCGTCAAGTTCACCTTCATCGTAAAGTTCATCTTCATTACCGAGTTCATTATATTTGTTTGAACTAGTTTCGTCAAGTTCTTCACCTGACTCGTCTTCCATATGAATATCTTCAGATACATTTCTTTCATTTGATATTTGTGAAGATATCTTATTAATTTTACTATGACGGTGTCTAATATAAATACGATGTGGATTAAATGAAATATAACGACTTCGAAACATTTTATCAAGCGAAAGAAGAGTGTAAAAATTTCAATTAGTATTTTACACGATACTATTTTAAATTTTATTTGTCAATTTCATAATATTATATCAAATTTATTAATAAAAATGGATAAAAGTGAAAATAACGTAATTTATTAATTAATTATAGACTAACTTATTATTGTATAAATTAACTAAAAAGTTCGGTGGAAAGTTTAATTAAACTAACTTTTTATGTTAAATTAAAAAAAAAAAATACTGTGCATTTAACCGATTACAGTCTAAATTAACTAGAAAAGGCTAATTAATCGGGAATATGTGTTGACATAATACTATTTAAAATCGATTCTTAATTTGCTTTCGTAAAAAAAATATCTTTATTAAAAAATTTTTCTACATTTTATTTATGTAAATATCCAACGATTAAAAATGCCTCAAACTCGTGGACGTAGCAATAGTAGAAAGGACAAATCTTCTCCTGAACAATTCAAACCCAAACGTGGACGTAGACGTGGACGAAATAATACACCTCAAGAAGAACAATTTTTAACTGCTAACAGTGGACGAGGCTGCGGACGTGGACGTGGACAAAGTAACAAGAAATCACATCTCTTGAATGAAATCTTAGAAGATAGTGATTATGAGGATACAATAGAACCATCGTTATCCGGACCTTTTAATTTGTTACCTCTAAATAATACGGATTTAGAAGAACTTGATAGTGCATTGGCTCCACGTCCGGAATCTAGGAATTTGAATACATCAACTCCTTTACGTGAAGTTCAAAGTAATGAACTTGAAAATTTATCAGCTCCTCCGCGTCTGGAACGTCCAGCATCTAGAAGTTTGAATACATCAACTCCTTTACGCGAAATTCAAAGTAATGGACTTGAATTATCATTTCCTTCACGTTCGGAACGTCCAGAATCTAGGAGTTTGAATACATCAACTCCTTTACGCGAAATTCAAAGTAATGGACTCGAAAATTTATCAGCTCCTCCGCGTCTGGAACGTCCAGCATCTAGGAGTTTGAATACATCAACTCCTTTACGCGAAATTCAAAGTAATGGACTTGAATTATCATTTCCTTCACGTTCGGAACGTCCAGAATCTGTCTCTTATACACATCTAGATGTGTATAAGAGACAGATTCAAAGTAATGAACTCGAAAATTTATCAGCTCCTCCGCGTCTGGAACGTCCAGCATCTAGGAGTTTGAATACATCAACTCCTTTACGCGAAATTCAAAGTAATGGACTTGAATTATCATCTCCTTCGCGTCCAGGATTGAGGGATTTGAATTCCCCAGCTTCTTTACGTTCTTTTAATGCGTCTGCTTCTTCTACACTTCCATCATGTTTCAATGACATGGATACGATTTTCCAACTAGCTACTTGGCTATGTGCGAATCCGAATGTTCTTCAATTTGCTAACGCTATATATTCGTCAATGCAAACGTCGCTCGCAAATGGGCAACAGTTCACATCATCAAATTTGACAAATCCAACAAAATTACAATTGCAATCAACATTGCATGAAGATAAAGTAAGAATTTTTTAGTTTTTGTTTTGATTATTAACAAAGCCGCTAAAATTCATTGACAATATTTATTTATTACTTGCAGTCAAAGGTAAGCCGCGATTTTTTAGAAGAGCTAAAATGTCTCTTTCTACGCGTCAGAAATCCTCCAAAACGTGCCCTTGAGGAATTGGTACAACAAATAATCAAGTGCGATCTCAACTCAGCTGAAGGCTTGGAATGGTTAAGGATCGCGAATAGGCAATTTGGAGATTTCAGAAATAAATTTCTCGACGGGATTGAAAAATTGGTTGATTCGCTTAAAGAAAAAAGAAAAGGGTAATTATTCTATTTTTCTTTTCAATTTCCATCATTTCAATGAACTTTGGATGAAATATTATAATACTAATATTTATGCTTTGTCAGTCAAAGTATTCCTGAAACAATTCTACCGTGAAAAGAAGACATTGCTGATTTCGTTGATGAAGAAATAACAAAGAATACACTACGACGATGGTTAAGTGCCGTGAAAATCAATGATTTAAGGGAAAATTCGTTGATTTATTTATGTAATCTAGTTAGGAAGGCTGTAATTATTAATTATACCGTGAGAGATCTGGAAAAAACAAAAACATTGGACATAATTACAAAGAACTTGGTAATTCCATCTAGAAATGGCAGTGATTTCGCAAGTAACTTAGAATTGTGAAATAGCATATTATTACAATATTATAATTTCGTATTTTATAATAACTAGTTTTATTACTGCAATAGAATTTTATTATTTGCGTTTTATTAATCATTTTATTATTACAATTTACAAATTGTTATTACAATAATAATTATCTTAAAAGCCTCGTTGAATATTATCCAATTCATTGACAAAACATCTTGGATTAATTTTTTCAGCTAATCTCCTACATTAGTCATTTTTAAAATAATTATCTTAAAAGCCTCGTCGAATATTATCAAATTCATTGACAAAGCATCTTAGATTAATTTTTTCGGCTAATTTTCTACATTAGTCACTAAATTATTAATACCTTTATTGTAGTTAAACTCTATTTCGAAACTATTCATTAATGTAAGGTTAACAACATTTTTACGGATCGTAAAAATTTCGCCAAGATAATATGCCGCCACGTGATCGATGCGAATTTGGGTCTAATTCGTGACGGTTAGGATGCAAAACACCAGGTTTCAGCAAAGTTATTTTGCATGTATTTCCAATAATTTCTCTAATTTCTCTTCTAATTTCTCTAACTTACCTAATTTCTCTTCTAATTTCTCTAACTTGTCTAATTTCTCTAATTTCTCTTCTAATTTCTCAAACTTATTTAATTTCTCTTCTAATTTCTCTAACTTATCTAATTTCACATCATTAGATTTTACTTTCTCCAATATTACCTCATTGCCAATAGGATTATATTTAATCTGAAGTTGTTCCAATAATTTTTCCCGCATCTCTGTGAATTCCTTATTATCCCATTCACCCTCTTTAATCAATCTTTCAATTTCTATTCGAGTCTTATCAACATTAGCATAATAATGTCTTGAAAAATAAATTTGAATAATTAATAAAATCAAGTCATTATATTTTTTTTAATAAAAACAAAATTACATACATTACTTCAGGAAACCATGTTTGCCAACGTCTCTGATGTGGTAATAGATAAAATAACTCAATCTCAGCCAAAATCTTTAAAAATAAAAATTGAGAAATATATTAAATATATTAGTATATTTAAAGAAAATAGAATGATTAACATTAATATATTATTTACTTCTGCCTTTTGTATCAAATATGAGACTCTATTATTATCTTCTTCTATTGCATTATTGAGTAATCCAATTAACAAGTTCATAAGATATACAACAATCAAGAGGGAAAATAAAACAATCAATATTGCAATTGATGGATTATCTGCATATGACCAATTGGATAATGCACTTGAATCACCTATTAATAAGAAAGAAAAATTGTTTAAAAATATTATAAAAATACTTATATATAATTTAATTATACAGTACCTGCTAAGAATAAATATGTAGCAAAAAGAGAAGTTCTAATATCTATAAACATGTTTGTATTTTTATCAGGTGTTTGAATCATAAATGGATTGAAGTTTATATTTCCATTATTATCAATTACTTGACTATAACTAGAAGCTAAATTCCAAGGATTATTCGGATCATTATTATTTGTATATTGTTCAAGTGAAAATTCAGATTTTGGAGATAATAAAATATAAAATGCGTGTGCAAAACTTATTATAAAAATGAATATGACTACTAAAAAAGAAAAAATCTTTTTTCCAACACTAATAATAATTGCAAAATATATACCAAAATATTCAAATGCTCTAAAAAATAACAAAAACTTTATATCCAAAAATAAGCATGAAAAAGAAAGCAATTGAATTAGATAATTATTGTTCTTATCATTTGTTTGAAGCCAATAAATAGAAGTGTAAATTGAAAGTACATAAGCAATTATATCTGAAATATTAAAACATTATATAATTAATTAATTTCATTTTCTTAAAATATTGTAAATATATAAATTAAACATTTATATTTACCAAAAATATTCCAAAAATTATAAAACCACTTAGTAAAATTATAAAAAAATTGACGAATTTTTAAAATCAGATGAATAAATCCAAGTATAATCGAAGAAATAAAAAGTTGTTGTCTAATTCCTTTACTGATATATTGCTGAGGAATTGTTGCAGCAGCAGTGAAACATCCAAGTAAAGCCATAAATATAATCCAAATCATTGCATAATAATATTTTCCAAAAGCATTCCATTTAAAATTAATTAATGCTTCACCATTCCATGTTTTGTAAATATTTCTATTTATTGATTTAGTAAATGGACTAGGTTGAGGTCTAATTAATTCTGATGTGTATAAGAGACAGGGTCTAATTAATTCTAAGAACCAATTATAATCTTTCGAATAATTAACAAAATTAATATAAGGAATCATAAAAGTAGTTGTTGGTGTTGTTGTTATATTTTTCTTAAGAATTTTAAAAATTTTAAGTTCAGTATAGTAATAAATAAAAGAAAATGCATCTGAAGCATAAATATCATTAATAAAATTATATTTTGATAAAATATAAAATGTAACCAAATAAAGGGGTAAAGTTAAAAGTATTATTAAAGCTTGAATAGCATAATATATAATTAAGTCTCTTATACACATCTAGATGTGTATAAGAGACAGGTTAAAAGTATTATTAAAGCTTGAATAGCATAATATATAATTAACAAAATAAATATTAATAAATATGTATATTTAGTTTTGTAATAAAATTCAAAAAGTTTACAGTAATAGTATTTTGTTAAAAGAGAATTCGATAAATTAGCTAATTGAGGAGATTGAAAAAAAGAATAAAGATGGAAATTTTTATTTTGATGCTCTATACTATAAAAAGAAGAATCTATTATCATATTCGTTTCTGATGAATATTTTAGAATATATTCTGGATAATATTCATCTAGTAATGGCATTGCAGAAGTGATAATACTTAAAAATGACTTATTGTTCGTTGGATCCTCTTTAAAATAAGTCATACATTTTTTATAAATATCATCAATTAATTCTAACTTATGTTCTTTAATTGCAAATATTAATAATTCAACTCCATATTTCAAAAAACTTGACTTATTATTTATTACATCTAAAACCCAACCATTTAATCTAAAACTATCATAATTTGGTAATGGTAAAGTAGATTTTAAAAATAATCTTGTGTTATGTTGAAGTATTTCCATATATTTTTTATCTCCATATCTATAATAATCAAAATTCATAAAATAAAAATAGTTTAAAGAAATAGATTTGTTATTTTCACTGAAAGTATAAATAAGAATACCAAATGTTGTCAATATAACAATATCATTATTATTAAATAATGAGCTTGCAATAAATTTATGATGGATAATATAATGAATATATGATTTAGGTCTATAAGGATAATTTTCACATCTCTCGCTAATTAATTCCCATTTAGTATTAATTTGTTTGAAAACTTTTAGTCTAATTTTATCATCATCAGCAAATATTTCCCATTTAATTAAATTTTCAATTGATTCAGTTAATTCTTCTTTACTATCGCATGTGGCATTTTGAAATAATGTAGATACAGTATCCATATATGGATTAAATGAATGAACATTTAAGTGATTGTAAGTTTCACATTCAATAACTTTAGTTTTTGACATATTTTCGTAAAATTTAGATTTCCAAACACATTCATTTAGAATTCCAAACACAAACTTTGTTTGTTCATCAGTTGGTGCATCAGTTGATTCATCAATTGGTTTATCAATTAAAGATTGATTAAACCAATTTTTGTATTTACTATTCCAGCAATATTTGATTTCTTTATCTGGTGTATAATAGAATAAAGAAGGTAAAAGACATAAACCAGTATGATTCATAAAATTATAAAGTTGAATATCTAAATAAAAAAAAAAAATAGTGATTTAATATGAGTAATAATTAAAGTATAAATAAAATTTATTAAAAATGGTTACCATCATTTATATCCAAAGTAGCAACAATAATTCCCAATTCGATTGAATAAACGATGATTTTATCATTGACTTTTAAAATATTATACTTTTCATTACTGAATATTTTAATACGATATGTTTCAATCTAAAAAATAAATAATATTTAATCAATTGGTTTGAAAATAATTTTATAATATTTATTACCTTATTCTTATCCTTATTATTAACAAATATTTTTACACTTTTTTTAGTATTAATATTCCATTCATAAATGTAATCTTTTGAATACAGGTAAACTTTATCATATTTTGATATACTAATTATTCCATAATCTTCAGGTATCTTGTAAAATCTCTTACATTCCCATTTGTTATTTTTATTTTGTGTGGAATAAATCAAAATAATTCTATGACTTCCAAAATAAGAGTGAACTAAACCATATAAAATAAATTCACCTTTTAAATTAAAGGTACAATAAAATGCACAAACACTTTTATAAAAACTTAATGCAATTTTTTTATCTTTATTATTCATATCGATTATATAGCAAGTATCTACAAAAAAATATATATATAATAAATATCAATTACCATAAGTTTATAATTACATAATATTACTTACAATCGCAATAAGCAAATTCATAAATTATACATAGTTTCTTATCATCAGAAACACATAAATTATTGATATCTTTATTATTGTCATTAATTTTAACAGTTTGATGAAATTTAAGTTGAAACTTATCTATATCTTCAACATTCCAACCAATAATTGAATGATCTTCTTTACTATAAGTAATAAAGTATTTTTCATTTGGTGATATTTCTATCTTAGTAATAGGTTTACCATTATGCCGTTCATCATTGAAGGTAAATATCTTATCAACATCATTTTTATCAACATTGATTTTATCAATATCGATTTGGTCAGCATCATTTTTATTAGCATCATTTTTATCAACATCATTTTTATCAACTTCGATTTCGATTTTGTTAGCATCATCGTTAATTTTTACTGAAATGTCATCCATTTGATAATCATATAAATTTATTACCAAAAAATTAAAATTATTATTTACCTCGTCCATTTGCGATTATATACTTTTTTTTATTTTGTAACACATGCATGGCTGTAACATAAAATTTCGCCTCCTGCATAAAAAAAAAAAAATTTTTTTTATTAATTGAGCAATGATCAACTTTCGACATTTTTTTATCGTTAATCAAATTTACGTTATTCTAAAGAAATATTTGTTTACCTCCTATAATCAATTTTCTGAATTAAGACACATCCTATAACAAAGACTTTTATAGCCGAAAATAAATATTTGGCGTTTATCCGACATACAAACACTAATTAATATTTATTTTTAATGATTTATATATAAAATCTGGTATATCGAAATTTTTTGATATATTGGAAGTCTCGATATACCGGATATTTTTACTGGAACGGATGGTTCCATTATATCGAATTTCACTGTGTATTTAACAAATGGTGGTTTCTTTGAAATTTATACAGCAGAATGGAATGGTCTAATAAACAACAGTTGAAAAGATTTAAGAAGTAAAAAGTAATAAAAAAATTAAATGTTGAAAATTCAATCAAAGCTAACTACAACTCAAATGTTACCTCCTTGGACACCAAGAAAAGTTTCTCCAATGGTTTTTGCTGGATCCTCTAATTCGTCATTTAATATTTCTTTGGAAATAGTTTGATCCGTGTTAACTCTCCATAACTTGAGTCTATCAGCATCAACCCCAGCAAAGTCATTCTGGTTTTTCTACTCAATAGCTAGCTTGAGGTCGTCAATGTCATTACTATCTCCAATAACGACTTTGGTGTTTTGATGTACGAAATAATTCTAAATTCAAAGTATAATTGGTGTACCAAGAATTGCGACAGGCATCGTTGTATTACCAATAGACAAGATAAGTAAATTTTTTTCAAAAATAGTGGCGGCTGGATATATATGAGAAATCGATGTCGCAAAGTTTGGTCTGACTCCATCAGGAAATTTTTCCACATGGAATAATCCATTAGTTTATTATATGAACTTTGATGATCGTTCGGTACGACCGGGTCGACCGGTACGTGATTTTCACAAATTTTTATTAATGACGTAATAAATTTTATTTCATTGATACCTGATCTACATGCGACCTTTCTATAAACATCGCCTCAATCGGAGTTCTCCGATTTATTCTTGCTTCTTTTTTTAACCACAATTTAAGTAATGAAATATTGTATAAAAACTTGCACAATCGGACTATAATTTACATTTTTATTTCTTTTTTTTTATTCGTACTTATTATAATTTTTTTTTTTTTGTATATTTTATAATAATTCTTTAAATAATTCATTAGAATGGGTGAATTTAAACTCAGTGATGTTATAATTGAACAAATAAAAGATTTTAATCATCGGAATTTAACTAAAGAACAAAAATCATTAATTGATAAACTGATATTAAATGAAGAATTAAAAAAACGTTATAAAGAAAATGGTTTGTGTAATGTGTGTAATCGAATTAAAATATGTATTTTTTGGTGTAATTACTGTCTTATTCAACAAAATTTCAAAAATTGGACAAGTGGAAATAATGAAGTTGATGAATTCATTCAAAAAACACAATTAAAAGCTAAATATTGCCATCAAATTATGGAGTGGATTGAATATGATAGATTTGAAAATGTTGAATATTTGGCAAAAGGAGGATTTGGAACTGTTTTTAAAGCAATTTGGAAAGATGGTCCTATATGTAATTATTATAATCATCAATGGAAAAGAAGTAATAATGAAAAAATTGCTCTAAAATGTCTACATAACTCACGAAGCATGACAGCTCAATTTTTAAAAGAGGTAAGATCTTTTTTTCATAAATTTAAGTACTATCATTAACTTTTATAAGCATTAAACTTACTTTAATTTTTTTTAAGATTGAATTACATAATTTACCATATGAAACCGGTTGGATAGTTCAATGTTTTGGCATCACTAAAGATCCAATCATCCAAAAACAGAAAATTTTATGATGGTTATGAAATTAGAAGAAGGTAGTTTAAGGCAACATTTAAATAATAATTTTATTTCACTGAATTGGGAGAAAAAATTTCAAAGTATGCATGGTATTGCATATGGTCTTAAAGACATTCATAAAAAAGGATTAATTCATCATGATTTTCATTGTGGAAATATATTAAGTGATTTTATAGATAGTGCTTATATCACTGATTTAGGATTATGTCAACCAGCAAATGTAAAGACTTTTCAAGATAGTAATAAAAAAATATATGGAGTGTTGCCTTATGTAGCTCCTGAAGTTTTAAGAGGAAAAGAATATACTCAAGCAAGTGATATTTATGGATTTGGAATTATTACGTATGAAATATGTACAGGTCTGCCTCCTTATTATGATGTGGCACATGATGAATTCTTAGCTATGAAAATTTGTCAAGGATTAAGACCAAAAATTAATTACAGAATTCCTCAACTACTTCTTGATATAATTAATCAATGTTGGGATGCAAACCCTTTAAATCGACCTAAAGTGAATGAATTATATGACTCATTAAGAAATTTATATAATTATGGTTCTAGAAAATTTAATCCCGCAATTGTTGAACAAATTAAAGAAGTGGATAAAATTAATGAAGATTCATCTTATTTATCAACATCTTCACCTTTCTTATCTACTTGCACTCTTTCATATATGACACATCCTCAAGCAATTTACACAAGTAAACTTTTAGATTTTAAAAATCTTCCAGAACCAAAAAATTCTAACGATAATAATGATTTACTTGGAAATAAATATTCAGGTAATTAATTATACATCACATTAATTGATTATTCATGAAATAATTCTTATATATTAATTTTTCATTTATAGAATCTGTAAAAATAGATTTTACTAAACTCAATATCAATTCTAAAGGTAATAATGATTTTTGTATTAGATGTTATGGCATTTTTCGATTTATTAAACTAATAATTAAAATATCAATTCATCTAATTTTTCCTGGTTTAAAATAGATGAAAATAATTGATTGAAAAGCCAAAGGATTATATAAAATTTTCTTTTTTTTTATCATTTATTATTAGTTTATAATTTTGGGTTATATAAATGTTATAGTTTTTTTAAAAAAATTTAAATATACATCTTTTATTTAAATTTTATATATAAACTTAAACTTTAATTGTATAAATGTAATTTTTTAAAATAATAATAAACATGTAAATGTCATATAATAAATACTTATTGGATATGATCGAATGATTGGATGAAAACACCAATCAATGAAGGTCCCTGTGACCGACCGATCCAATAAATGTATTATCGTTCTGACGTTTTTGATCATACATTAATTAATAACATCATAAATAAGTTTTCTATAATTAAATCCACTTTATTTAAACTTTTCCTACAATTGTTTTTATTTTAGTTAATTTCCTAATTATATAATCACTAATTTAATTTTTTTCTTATTAAAAATAATTTAGACATAATAACAAACTAATATACAGCAATCTGGACGAAATGCAATATATATTTTAATAAATTCACAATAATATTCAATAAATATCATGATAAACATAATATAAAAATAAATTATTGGTCTATTAGGATCATGCTGATTTTGAAAGACTGATATTTTTTGTTAATGGTTAAATAATTGATATTTTTTTTTTTATCGGTTAAATATGACTACAAATTAATCCTTTAATAAGTTTACAATTTAGTTATACTTTTTAATACTCTTACAATAATAATAGCATAATCTTGCGTGACTGACGCAATAACTATTATCTAAATATTTATATAAACAATAAAAATATGTCAATAACTACCGATTGTTGTCCATCACCTGATTTCGCATAACACATCGAAGAATACACCTTTACCGTATTTTGCAATAATCCGGTCATAATACCAAATGAGGTTAGTTTTATAGACATAGATGACATAGGAGATGGCGAAAAAGACATCTTTTATACAGGATAATATTTTTTATATAATAATAAAAATAATAATAATAAAATGGAGTGTCTATCATTGATTGCTTCGTTTCAAACCCGGGTATAATGTAAATAGGAACAAATAATATGTCTATATCTTTAATAATTCAACATGAAATAAACATTTCCTAAATTATATTCGTCGATGTGTAGAAAAATGGATCTTGCAGCTTAACTGATCCTGAATATGGAAACGCTTAATCAACGCCACGCATTTTTTCTTCGTAAGCACGATGGGCTTTATTTGTAATTAATGTAAGCCTTTGGTTATGGTTCGGAATCAGCGTAAAATTACACAAGCGTGACAACAATGACACATAATGACATATTGTTCATCCTGTGATATCTTCTTTATCTTCTTTATTTAAGTTAAAAAAAAATACAATGTATTCAATAATTAATTGATATTCTGACACCATGTAAAAGCGAAAGTCGTATATTTCTGGGAAAAATAATAACTAAATAATAATTATTATTTTGGAGATAATGAGGTGATATATTTTATATTTCGATTTTTATAAAAATATTTCTAGTCTATAGTTTTTTCCTGTTCTCAGTTGATATATTGTAATCTTAGTAAATAAATTCTGAAATCGGTAGGACCTGGTAGAATTAGTTGTGTATTATATTTTGACGTGTTTTAATTTTTTTCGCGATCACATCACGTGATCGTACACGTCTCTTCGTAGGTTTTGTAGGTGAAATGACTCAAATAAGTCAAAACGAAAACCCTTACATTGTTATTTATTTATGAAAATAGTTTTATGTTATTGAATATTTGCTGCAGATTTTTATGAAATAAATCTTTATATAATCGATTAAAACTATTCTATCTTCTATATCTTCTATAAACACTGCAATATCTGCAATATAAAGACCAAAACCTTTTTTTTTTACAGATCTTAGTAATATACAGCATGGTACAAACTCATGACGAAACTGAGATTTAAAAACAATTACAATACGATCGGATTGAATAAGAAATCTATTTTTTTAATTTTACAAAATTTTTTTTTTTTTTTTTTTTTTGCGACACAAAAAAGCGAAGTATCAAATTCATTATATATAAATTTGGTTTAGATTTGATTAATCAAAGTCAAAAATCAAATTGTCTAATCAAGATTTGATTTTGATTGAATTGATTCCAATCTCTATATGACATTTCTCTGCAGTGATATTCTGGAAAAACACCTTTATTATAATGCATTAAGTAACAAATTTTTTAAATATGAGGTGAAATGGGATATTAACCATGGTAAATGTATTTTAATTTTAAGAAAATATTTTTTTACTATATAAGCCTGATGAATTAGTATATTTCAATTACCGCTGAAATACGTAATTTTTAAACAAAAATTTATAAAAAAAAAAACTAGACAAAAGCTGAGGTGATGATTCATCAACCATTTTAATTCGATTAAGAAAAAGAATTGAAGAACTAAAAATAAAAATTCGCATTCTAGAAGAAAAAAAAGAAATACCTTTAAGAATCTTTTGATCAATTCTTTGGAAAATTGTTAATGCGTTCTCGTACTTTGTATGAATTCTGATTATAGTTACAAAAATAGAAAAAAAAAAGTAAATAATCCGTTATCAATATAAAAATTATTCGAATCTTTGATGTGATATGTAAACCCTATTAAGTGAATGTTTTAATTTACGCAAGAGTTGCTATAATCAATTACCTACTGAGTCCAATTCAGAGTCCTTCCCTTCTTTCACATATTGTATATATTAAATTATGAACTAATAGATTGAAACAAAAAAATTATTTCTGCAGTTCGAACAATTAAAACAGAATTTCTGCAACATGCGTTTAGTTATAAAATCCATTGCAACGTTAGGAAAATTTTTATATTTGATTTTCATATATTTGATCGATACAAAAGTTACGTTAAAAAAACCATGTGTTTTAATATAAAAAATTTAACTAATGAAATGTGTGGTCAAATCTTAACCATAATTATATCAAAATTAATATATATTTATTGAAATATAATTTTATTAATAAAAATATGAGTACATAATCTAAATATTAAGAAAATGAGTTGTTTTAATTATATTCTTCATCATCAAAATTCGTAACTTTAAATTTCTTAATAACGCCTAATTTAATATATTTGTTAATTATTTCAATATTTTCATGATTTGTATCTAAACTATTTGCATCATAATTAACAACCACCAACGAAAATGACTTTTGTGATTTATTATCTGTCCAATTTATAAAAAATGATTCTAATTCTTCCGGAAGTAATTCAAGCCATTCATCAAATAAATGATATAATACTAATTCATTAATATTATGTGAATACTTTGCAAATGCTTCTAACGCTTCTTTTTCGCTCAAAAAATCCCCTCCGCACCAAATTTTAATACTTTCTAAAATTTTGCAACTATTAAATATTATTTGTAATGTTTCCAATTCACTACATTTAATACCTGTAGAAAGTTTTTTAAGATTTGGACAACACTTAGCAATAGCTAAATTTAATGAATTATCATTACATCCATCAAAATCTCCTATACAAATTTCTCTTAAATTTTTCCCATTGTTTCCTAAGAATTTTATTAATAACTCATTTCTTGGATATTTTTCTCGAATTATTAAAACTTTTAATTGAGGAAAAGTAACATATTGTAACTTTTCAAAATTAACAAAACATTCATCATTACTAAATGATAATTTAAGTTCTTGCAAATTTAAGAAATTGGCAATAAATGATAATGAAAAATAATTATCTCCTCCATAAAGATCTAATTTAATTAAAGTATTAGGAAGTTTTGATATTAATGAAGGAATTATATTTGTTACACTATCAACTGTTAGATCATAACATAGTGTCATATCAAAACTTTTCAGGTTTCTTTGAACAGAAATTAAATCTGCTATCCCGGAATTCGAAATAATTCTTTCAAATTCTATAGTAAATGATTGTATATTATAACATGTTTGAGATAGTTGATAAAATAATTCTGTAGGAATATCTGAACTACAACTTAATTCTGTAAGATTTTTTAAACAATCTTTTGCTCCAGGATATAAACAAAATATCTCATCTGAAAATAAGAAAAAAACTAAACTTTTCAAAGAAGTGATCTGATTCATGAGCATTTTGAATATTTCACGTACCATTATATGTATATAATTATTAAGATTTTGTGATGAAATAGTTTGTTGATTTCTAAGAAGCCCTCTAATTTTGTAATAAACTCGGTTAATAGATAAAATTTTACAAAATGCTGCATAGTTGAAAGTCGGAAATTTTGAGGTTGAAGGAGAAATAATAATTCTATTTTCATATAAAATTTCTTTTGACTCGTTTGGAAGGCAAGCAATTAAAGTACTAAAATTTGATGTACTATAATTATAAATATCTCTCCAAAAAATACTCACTGAAGTTCCACACCAAAGTCGATTAACTAATATGCATGAATATAAAGTAAATCTGTCATCTTCCAAATATTCAAAAATCTCATTTAAACAATCAACGGGAAGTTGAGACATTGTTTTTAAATATAGCGAAAAAAAAAAGGTTTTTTTTTTTTTTAAAACGAAATGTCGTTTTTAAGTTTGCTGTTGGTTGTGTTACAAACATAAAGGTCATGCGGTCACAATTTCATAATTATCATGTGATGGATTAATAAGCACGAATGCACGATCATTTGTTTACGGAATGTCAAACGTCAAATTGCTATTAATCGATGAAGAAATTTCAAAAAATCATCGGCAGTCAGCCAATCAAATCTTTGATGCAGTGTAATCCGATTACTGTAGGTAAGCATTATTTTTCTCTAGATTTTAATTATTAACGTTAAGGGTGAATAAAGTTAAAATAGATGACGTACTATCAATGTAATATAATGTGTCATATTTAAAATTCGCAATATTTGCAGTGTTTCGTAATCATGAAAGAGTTGTCATGATCAATTTCCTTCTTTCTTCCTTATTGTCTGTTATACTATTGTAAAACTAGCGTGAAAATAATTATTGTCATGTGACCCTATAAAAATCCATCCATTTCTCCGAGGCCATTTCGCCGAATAGAAATTTCGCCGAAGGGATATTTTGTCGAATGGGCGTTTCGTCGAAAAGACATTTCGCCGAATCCTTTTCCTCGGATCGTCCATTTCGTCGAAGAACATTTTGCCAAAAATGTTTTGATTAACATAATTCCTTTAAAATCATTAACAAGTTGATATAAAGAAAATAAAAAATGTTTCGGAAAATTGATGAGTACGATGAATTCCTTCAGCGAAATGGCTTCAATGTATCATATTCACGGAGTTTTTACGGAGATCACAGATAAAATTTTTTGTGGATGAAATTTACAAAACTCAGTTTTTAAAAATGTCATTAATTTCACAATTCTAAAAAATAAAAATTTACCGTTTCTATTCCACAAGATTTATTATATTAATTAATTTTAGGATTGTTATTCAAAAAAAACATTCGCTCCAGACTTTCCTAAATTATTGAAACAAAAATTATTTCTGTAGTAGTTGCAAAAATTTATTTCAATGTTACGAAAAATTTTAAATTTGATTTTCATTTACTACATTAAAAAGCTTTCACATATTTGATAAAGAGCTAGTATCTCGAAAAGATTACGTCGACAAGAAAACTTTTTTTTTTTTTTTTTTTTTTTTTTTTTTTTTTTNTTTTTATGAAGTCAATTTATTACTTTATTAGGAAATAAGAAAAATTACAAAAAAAGAAAAGATCTACATTATATAATATTTAGTAAAAAACACGATCGAACTATACTATAATATTATTAGGGACTTAAGATTTTATGCTCAAAAGAACTATCTACCATCCTGCACACCCAAATAGGTTCACTAAACTATCCGTATAACTACTACTATTCGTATGGACTTCAGTAATGTTATATAAAACCGCCACAACACCTTTGACTACTACAACAAACTAGTGAAGTTTCACTGAAGTTTCAGTGAGAATTTTGTGGGGAAATTCTTGTAATTATACTACTTCGAACATTAGTGATTAGTACTTTAATTGCTTGCCTTCCAGACGAATCAGAAGAAATTTTAACTAAAAATGGAATTACTATTTTAACACCAACCTTAAAACCTCCCGCTTTTCAATTATGCATCATTTTGCAAAGTTCTATCAGTTGATCGATTTTATTACAAATTGAGAGGCTTCTTTACAAAATATTTTACCTGAAAATCTTAAAATTATACACAAATAGTGGCGTAAAAGATTGTTTAAAAAATCTCGCAGAATTACGCTGTGGTTCAGTTATTTCCATCAAAATATTTTATCAGCTATCTCGAACATGTTATAATATACAATCATTTACTATTGAATTTAAAAAAATTATTTCGAATGGAATGGCCGATCTAATTTCTGTTCAGAGAAATTTGAAACACTTCGATATGATGTTATATCATGACTGTAGTATGACAGATATAATTTATTTATTAATGTCAAAACTTAGGTATATGTGGTGGAATGCATTATATTCCATTGTCTTTTATTGTCAATTTCTCGAATTTACAAGAACGTAAATTATCATTTAATCTTGAAGAATGCCTTGTTGATTTTGAAAAGTTACAAGATGTTATTTTTCCAAAATTACAAGTTTAAAAATTCGTGATGAATTTCCAGACGATGGGTCACTAGAAAGTACGACAAAATGGGCATATCGGACATATTGGAACGTCGATGAAAATATTAGCTGATATTTACGACGGAAAATATGATGATACTGACCCGTTTTTCACACAAGAAACCGCAGATTCACATTTAAAGATAATGATATATCTCACTTAGATATGACTAAAGTTGCTTGTCGCAATTAGTGAATTTCGTCATGTCGAAATTGTAGAAATTATTTTTACCATTTCGGCAATGACCTTTTTTATTTTCGGTAAGCAACTTTAGTCGGCCAAAACGGTTGGTATCGATCGCGGTCATGATCGGCGGGTTACAACCGTCAATAGTCGATACACATAAACCTCCTAGGGGTCGCTCTGCTCCTTCGCAACCCCAAAAACATAAACGTGGAATTCTTAAGTCCTCCTCCTCGAATTCGTCATCTTCTCGATCTAGATCAGCTTCCAGCGGGTCTCTTTTGATAACACAGCGTTCAATAAAATGGACGAAGTTTTATTTACAATGGAACATTATACTTCCCTCTTTGAGGACCTCAAAACTGAAATTTTATCTATCTCCTGACTTCTAGATCTTGACGAACCTGCCCCGCATGAGCTTGCACAAGATGCCAGCATCATGGATACTGATTCTTCTTCACTTATCCCACATCCGATCCCTCTTCCTCCTCCGACGGGCTCCGAGACCACCGATCCTCCTTATCCAATGCATCCTTCTCCTCCTGGGATGATGATGTCACTCCAGAAAACTTCGCAAATTTTTTCTTTAATTTTTTTCGGACGTCACATTATTTTTTATATAAATTTTTTTTTAGCCAATCAGATTTCAATCAGGTGGGTGGGCACTAACTTGTGATTGCTGCTAAGCCACAACAGATTTTTGACTGTGCTAAGTGATCTACAAAATGATTATTAACAACGTTAGTGACATTACACACGGAAATCATTCCGAAAATTAATATAAATCGGGATAAAATATGATACACAAAATACCCCTTTTTTTTCTTTCTTCGTTTAACACTTTACAATGTCATGTTCAAAAATATTTTCAGGAGATTTACCTGAATTAACATATGGAATTATAAAATATTTCCAAAATGATTTTTTAACTTTACATTCATGCATTTTAGTTAGCAGATTATGGTGTCGTTTAACGATTCCATTATTATGGGAAAATCCATTTTCAAATCCTACAAAAAATTATAGATTTATTGAAATTTACTTACAAAATTTAAGTGATAATGATTTTAAAACAAATTTAAACATATATAAAATTAACGATAATTTATTTTATTTAAATACACTTTTTAATTATCCTAGTTTTATAAAAGATATAAATTTGTTGAAGGTTATTACTTTTGTTGGGAAGTGGTTTGAAGATTCTGTCAGGACTTTAAAACCAGGAAATAGATATTTTTTACAAAATTTAGATATACTTTCCACAACTAATTTTAAAAGATTAATTTATAAATCATTATTTAAAACATTCATTGAAAACGAAGTAAATTTAAATACTCTTAACATTGATATCTTCACTATTTCCAGTTATGAACCCTATTATGATGATATTATTATATTAATTTTACAAAATTCAAATTTTATTCACAATATTAAAAATTTAAACCTTTATTTTGGTAGTAGCTCACCTAATATCTTATATGGATATGCATTAATTAAAAGTCAAATATTACAAGTAATTTATTTACATCAAAATCTTAAGAAAATTTTATTGGATAATAATAGTTTCCCTTATTATCAATCATTATTTTTATCAAAAGAATATAATTGTTCAAATACTTTAAATACGATCATACTATATCAAGTCAATTTTAATGGTATAATCAATTTAGACAAAATATTTGAACAATTAAATGTTTTAGAATCTGTTCATATCACTTATTGTTATTCTTTAAATAGTAACTTTATTCAACAAATTATTAATTTAACTAAACCATTTAAATTAAAGTCTTTATTTATAGAAGAGAGATTACAAATCAATTTATTAGAATTATTATTACAAAAATCTGGTGATTATTTGGAAAATTTCATTGTATTTGGATTTGATTATGATTTATCATCAGGACGTCAATTATTAAGATTAATTACTAAATATTGTAATAATATCAAATTTCTTGGTTTACATGGATTTAAAGACCAAATTAATAATCTAGCATCAAATTTAATTAAAAGTATTAACCAAAATCTTAATTATCTTTCAATTTACATCAAAGAAAATTATTATTTTAATTGTGATATTGAATATACTTCAACTATACTACAAAATTTAGGACAAATTCTCCCTTCTAAACTAGAATATTTAAGTTTATCTCTTTCTTTTAAAAAAAGTGACTTTATAAGATTCTTAGAAAATTCTCAAAATATTTTTATTAATAGATTGTCAATAATGCAAAATAATTATTGTAATATTTTACCTTCTATAAAGAAATTTATTATGAAAGAAAAAAGAGTCAAGTATTTGGCTATTAAGAGTTTTGACAATATAGATTTGTCTACTTTAGAAGATGAAGTGAATGAATTTATGTTATATAATATTAAAGTTCTAAATTTTTGTGAATTATATTTAGCTATTAGGGCTTATGAATTTGTAAAGAATATTGATTAATTATAAAGATGAATATCATCTTTACAATATTTGTAATATTTGTAAATTATAATTAAATTATTTATTTATTTTATTTATTATTGATATTTTATTGAGATAATCTTATAAATTTAAAAATTGAAATCCACTTTTAAGTTTTAAGAAATGAACCTAGAGTTTGATCAGTCCGGCTTCTTGAATTTTTTTAAAATAAAAACTAATGGTAGTATAAATCATATTTAATGATATTTCCAGTCATGTTGCTT